TTTTGTACCAATTTTGCCTCAAGACTGGATTTGAATCTGCAGATATTTATCACTGTTAATCACATTAATATCCAATGAATTTAGTTACCAGAATTAAATCCTGGCCACTGAATGCAGCTTTTTGTAACCGTGTGCAATGTGGTTATCTGTCTGGAATAAAACCAAAATGTCTTAGTGGTTTTGTTACAAGGCAAGTTTTTAATAAATTGAAAATAAATCAGTCAGATTTTTTCTCTCCATCCTAATTGATATTCAGAGGTAAGTGGCAACTCACACGCCTAACAGACCATAATCCGTAGCCGGCCTGTGTCAGCCAAACATCAGATACTGTGTTTGCTGATAGTCTTCCTATAACTGCCAGCCCTAACAGCCTGTTCCCAAAGCAGCCAGGTAGTTAACTATAGTGAAATCCTGAGTATCTCAGTCCCCTCAAAATATTGCTTAATTCCTTGTAAATATGCTATGTGATTTACCAGGTAGTTGATATTAGGAGGGTTTGATAAATGAATCAGCAATCGGTGAACATATTATTCCTTCAGGCCTATCTGGAGTTTCACTATAACAAATCCTGCTGAGCTTCATCACTCTCTAGTGCTCAAGGTATGGGACTTCATAAATACTAATAATATGTGGGGCCCCCACCTATTTTTAGGAGATGTTGAGAAAGTGAATTGGTCTTTTTTTCTGTCAGTCACACGATGCTTGTTTCTGTCTAAGAGACCTTTACAATGGAATAAGTACAAAGCCTTCTGTTTAAGGCAAATGTTGAGCTACAGGTAAACTTTTCCCTGACAGAGAATCCTCTAACATTCATTAACCTAATTTTCATTGTGTAATATGATTGCACTGTTGAGCTCAGAATGGGATGTCATAAAGGTTAATTGTAACAGTGAGAGATTAATAGCTAATCTGAATTAGAAGTAGCAATCATATGATTTGTCATTATTATATATTACCTACCCTAGAAAGATTATAAACCATAGGCCAGGGCAACAGAGCCATTCAGTGCCTCCTTAAAACTCTCATTTACCAAATGTCTTATTGAACATGAATGGTTCTTTGTTTGCTTAGTCTGATAATTGACTTGGTTGTTAGAAGTGTTGGTTTTATTTATTAACATTTATTTGACTAATAAGATTGTTCGATTGCCTCATCAGACAGTGGCACGTTTCAGTTCCAAGCTGAAAATCTTAGAGCATCGACAGCAGAGGATAGCAGAGGTCAAGGCCAAATATGAGTGGCTTATGAAGGAACTGGAGATCACTAAGCAGTATTTGATGTTGGATCCGAATAAATGGCTCAGTGAATGTAAGAACATTTTGAACACATTTCTTCAGCGTGCCCGTAATGTATACATGAAGTATGCAAAGCCATTTTATATCATTATTTAGCTTTCTTGGGAAAATATTGAAAGCAGAGTTTAACAGATGCAATTGTCCAAGTTCTGACCAAACCAAATCTAGAATTTGTACTATGTGTTTGTTCAACAGTTATTTAAGGGTTTCTCTTTAAGTGCCCCCATACAAATTATATATTGTTTAGTAAAGAACTGAATTGGATTTGTTTAAATATTATATATTATTTAAAGAAAGCCACTGGATATGTAAAAAGTATTATAAGCAAAATCCCCACAATATGTCCCTGATTTTTTTACACTTTATTGATACTTAATGTTGTGTTAGGCATAGTTTAAGTATGAATAAAGTGTAAAAAAATGGGGGAAATATTGTGGGATTTTTGCTTATAATATTTTTTACACATCCAATGTTTACACATCTAAATAAAAAGAACTGATAATAGATTCACATCTCAGTCCTAAATGTTAAATGCCTCATTTGTCTAGAATCTAAATTAGTTTTGGTAGTTAACGTTAACTTTAATTAATCCTCCCTAATGCTATATCAACCCTACCTCTACACTAACTCTAACCCTCTAACCCTAACCTTAACCAAACACTATCCCTAACCCTAAAACGCTAACCCTAAAACATCATTAACCCTAACCCAGCATTAACCCCAACACAAACCCTAAACAAACCCTAACTCTAACCCTACAACTAACCCTAATTCTACTACAACCATACCCCTAATTGTTATTGATATCAGTAGATGGGTTTCCTAGTTAAAGCAGTAGAGAGCAGTATGTTGCCGCCATCTACAGGTTGATTTCAGCATTACAGGGATATCACTATAATACTAATAATCAGATATGCTGATTACACTGTGATCGGTGCTGGACAGCTGACAAAGCCCCGCACCAATTACAGTAAGCATGATGCTATGCTTTGAGCACCTGCCATCACAGAATCACCGCAATGGAGCATTATCTGGTCTCTCTGGTGAGAGGGTTGGTAAAGCAAACATTTGTTTGCCACTGTAAATATTTGCAACTGTAATTGGGTGTTAACAATAACATGGTATATATAATTTAAATTGTGCTATGCGATAGTGCTCCCATCCCCATCTTTAAAGCACATCTAACAGGACCTATTGGTTCTAACAGCACATCTAACAGGACCTATTGGTTCACTGCTGGACTTGTTTTTATCCTACAAATCATCACTCCACTAAATTATGTTCTTGTGAAGAGAACAGAAGACTATCTTTGGAAAAAATAAATAAATTAGGAAAATACAGTAATTATATATATTTTCTAATATGCAAATGTGTTTTTGAACAGAATCTTTTTACAATCATTTCTCAATGACTAATAAATTGTATTTATTTTTCATGTTTAGTTGATTTGGAGCAAGCCTATGAAGTGGACTCCATGGAATATTTGGAAGCTCTGGAGTGTGTAACAGAACGATTGGAGAACCGTGTCAACTTCTGTAAAGCACACCTCATGATGATTACCTGTTTTGATATCACCTCAAGGCGTCGATAAATGAAGGGGTTGTGGTGTGGGTGGGGTTCACATATGGTGATGATAATAATGTCGCAGCAAACTTATGCCCTAAAAAATATTTTCTCCCTTCCAACAACACCCAAAGACAATGGAGCCAAGATAAAGGATGGACAAAGTGATGTTGTAATGTGACAAAGAATGTGACATGAAGGGACAAGAAGATGTTTTATTGAGGAGCAACACAATTGTTACCTCAACAAATGCATTCAAACAAACTGTCAGATTCCATTGAGATTTAAGTGAGCACTTTGAGAAACTTTAAAGGTTTTTTTGTAAATAAAGACTGAAGGCAGAAGAGAGCTCTGTTTGCCCCATTCCCTAAATTGTGGAGGATGAAGAAGATTGGCCTGATAGCTTCAAAAGTCATGTAAAAAAAGGATTAGGAAGAATCCACAGTGAGACTGATTAAGTGCCTTTCAAACCTTTACTATCCAAACATTTATGTTCATATTTTATTGTGTACAGATGGTGCTAGATATGTTAAAAAGAAAATCTGGAAAAAAAATACCCACACATTTTTTAATGTATTTGCAGCTTGTTTGCTATGGTGTACAACTCTATTTCTGACTTGCTGTTTTAAGTACTTGTGTTTGATGCAATGTTTCCTGATCAGTACAGCACACGACTATGCGTTAACTGTCCTTGTTACCAATGTGTGGCCACAAAGGATTTGTCACATGGCTAGTATCTGTTTAAAGCTTTTTTTGTGATGGCTACTGATTCCATACTGCTTGTGCATGCATGTTTAGGTACACAGTATTAAATGTACAATGGGCAGAGATTCACACAGTATTAAAATAATAAGAAAAACAAAACAAATGCAAGGTTGCAGGCCTCATTTTTCAGAATTTATCAAGCTCCCAGAGTTTGAATCGTAAACTCGGACCATTTCAAATCTACTACATATAGGAAATTTTAGCACTTAACGGATTACATGTTCATTTGGGAATGGTACATAAAATCGCTTACTTAAAAGGTAACCAGTCTTGTGCAATATGTAAATGTACAATGTATTTGAGAACTAAAACCTCCTTGAAAAAAGAATGTAAATCTTCACACTGCAACTGCTTTGGCATAAAAGGTGGTAAATAGTCCACTCTATTATGTCCTGTAAAATGTCACCAATATCAAAGTGTTCTCACTAATCCTCTAGGTTATTTTTCAGATTACAGAGGATTTCAGTCTTTTACAGAGCTAAGGAGAAGAAACCGTTGGTGGTAGCTGAAGATATATTTTTGACGAAACCTCCTTTGCAGTAACCAGCTTCTGACCATAAGTAGCTGTGTTAGGCTAAGGGACCTGTACCATACGCCACCTCCAAAAAGAATGAATGATTGAGAAGTTGTATAGGCTTGTACGTTATTATAAAGAGCTTATTCAACAACTTAGAATTAAAAATACATTTTCACTTTCCTTCTTTCCATTTCGTACCAATTTTCCCTTCTTTGGGCATTATCAGTAAAGCAGTTACAGGCTATAGGGATATCAGATTGGAGTAGACTGACAAAGCTTGATTTATTTTACTTCAATGATTCATTGAATGAAGATGTCCATATCTGCAGCAAGATAGTTATTTACTTACTTATTAACTAAACAGTAAATTGCAATGAGAACAATACGAAATTGGAAAAATGTAAGCCAAAATAGTATAGTAGATAATTATACTGAGTTATAATTCACTGCTTTGATGATACATCTCTATGCTTGTGCTGTTAAAACTCATAATGTCCTTTTGGTAATATGATTTCTGCTATTTTTTTTTTTTTCACTCAGTACACCCATATGTGGCTGTGTTAGCGAATTGTAAACTCACTAATGCACAGTAAAGGTGGCATGCAATAAAGTTTTTTTTCCTTGATCCCATTTGCCAGTCTATCTTCATTGCCTCACAGCACATTAACTTTGAATCAAAACATGTAGTAGCCATTGACATCCTGTGCTGCCTCTCACATAACCTAACATTTAAAATATAATTAAAAGTACATAGAGTTCCCAAGTTCCCCTGTATTATTAGACAGGACCATCGTTTGGTCCCATTTAAGCTTTAACGCCATAAATGGGAGGTGCAGTTTAGTGATATAAGCAGGGGTTTCCAGAATCCTTTAGTAACTGACAGTGATCAGCAATGGCCCTTTCTGTGAAGAAACATTAGATTGACTATTCTTCTGTATGTGTAGCAGGTGATGGGTTAGTATAACACATAGTTTTACCCTACACCTAGGAGCTATGGGATGGGAGGATAACATGTACCCAGATTAAACACGTACTCTCGCAATGTTTATAACTTTCATCTAAACATCATAAGCACAACAGGCTGATGTAGTGGCATAAACAGTTTACTTTTAATCCATGCTTAAAAGTTATTCATTGACTGAGCTACTCAGCTGACGCACTCCACCAATAAATTGCTTTAAAATATGATGCAAATGGTTTTGCTAATGCAGGGATCAGATGGGGGGAGGGTTTGCCTTTTATGGATTAACAATATAAAGCAAAGGATTTAAAGGCTTTAAAGGTTGGACTTGATAGACGTGTCTTTTTTCAACCTAAATTACTGTGTAAACTGCTTGGAAAAGTTGTGACTTAAAACCAGGGAACAGTGCCCGCAGCCTATTACCGTCAACATGTATTAGTTATGGTGCCTAGACTGGCTGTTTATAAAAGATCAGGAACTGCTGCCTCAAGCATTCCCTATAACTATATAAAAGTTTAAATTTGGGACATATGTCAATGGCAACTAATTATACTGACACCAAATTCCATATAGTTTGTGGATTCACAAATGACGCTGTACCATATTAACAACACATTCTACATAAGTTGTTCAGTTCTTGTAGGAGCAGGTAATCATCTAATACAGAAGATATATAGTATAGAGAGGGGAATACAGTGTTTTTTTTCCCGATTTCTCTTCATCTCTTCTTTCTTTCCTCTATCTAGCAAGCTGTTGTGGTTATGGTGCATGCAGTGTTACTTTAAATAGCATTTCTGCTCAAGGGACAGGCTTCCAAAACCTTTAGTAAGCATAAAAAAATAAAGGAATGGATTGTTCAGTGACATTCTTGGGTGATCTGCCCATGGCCTTTATAAACCAAGGGATGAGAACAACCTGTGCCACAGTGAAATAAATTGGTTCTAAATGTCCACTACCGGTACTGTTGTAGCCCAACGTACAATTATGAAACTTTTATTTCATACTAAAATATCCAATATTGTCTAATAATTGTAATCTACTGGGCACAGAAATAATTTAAAAACACATAATGGTCCCACCGTGACAATACCACGTATTGGTCTGTCATGTTTGCTACATGAAAACAAGAACAGCTAGCATAAATACAAGCATGGCATTTTTTGTATATGGGCTTCTATTTTCAAGTTAGAGTAATTTAAATGTAATTTAAAAGTTAAACCAAAGTGAAATGTAGTAATTTAAAGAAAAATTAGTTTGGATTAGGCTTTTAGAACTTACTTAATTTTAAAGTATTGCCGTATATTACCTTCAGGAACAGAAGTCCATGCCTTCACAGAAACAATCACATTAGGAATTAATTTAAAACATAACATTTGAGGAAGAATATAACCCACAGCTCCTCTTTATCACTAACATTAAGGTTAGTACATTTATAGCAACAGATGCACTATTTCTGTATTTCTTAACTATAATGAAAAGAAGAATAGAATAAAAATGATATTTGCATTTTTTAGTGTTATAACATAAATCATTGTTGATGAGCATGCAGCATTACAATTTATCATAATATGACTATAATTAATATTTCATTATAATAATATTGCATTGTAATTTCTACATCGCAGTGCCCTGGCTGCAGTATATGTTAGTACTTATAAAGATAAAAATACAGGTATTAAGTGGATGCTTGGTTCCAATGCAAAGTACTCTAACATCTAGGTGGGGCCCCCGTAACCTTCACCAGTAGTACAAAACACAAGTATATATTAGACGGAGTATCTTACATGCACACACAGGAACAAGTCTTTCTGTTAGGTAAAACTGAGTCTGTACTGGTAAGTCCTTAAAATGTAGCAAAACGTGTTTCGCCTCTCCAAGAGACTTCCTCAGTTGCTGGTTTCCTGTCCTGTGAGTGGGGCTCCTTTTAAACCTGTTCAGTTGCAATTTTCTCCCTCCTTTCCATGATACTTCCGGGTGCCGTTTCATTGTGATGCATTTCTGGTTCCGTTTTTTTGCGTTTCGTCGTTGGAACGCATGCTGAAAACGATCGTGAATATCCTGTTAGTTTTGGAGCTGGAACGCATCTCTGAGTTCCACATGTAATTGTCTTCCGATTTGCGGGTTGTCCTTATCCTTATGGAACGCATACATGCGTTTCAAAAGTCCTATACATGTAGTCCACAATGTCTCATAAAGAGTTTATAAGAATAAATGTTATTGCACATCTGAATCTAAGTAGGTGACAATCAAGTGATCCCTATCTTTTAAATAGATAGTGCAAAAAGTGGTTGTAATAATAAAATAAAAAAATGTAGAACATTCATGTTAAGTTGTCCTATAGTCTGTGCATCATGACATTTAAACATACAAAGCTATGGCATCATATAAGATGGAATCATAAGCTTAAGTGCTATATTGCATAAAAATACTACTTTAGAAGCCCTATGATGGTGGGAACACATAAAATTTACTGCTTTATATGTCATATAGAAAAGAATAGCTTATCCTTAGAATTATGTTTATTTTATATAAAATCCATTTAATGTTTAAAATAGTGTACATAAAATCTATTCCGAATCAGGTACATAATCATTAATAAAATGGCACAAATATTATTATAAGAAAGGACACTAAAAAAATGGTGCAGTATTGAATAAAACGGTGCCTATGAACACTAAAAATATTTATATATATTTTTTTAAATAGTACTTGTAGAAACTGTTGCATCATCCTTGATATGGAGGGTAAAAATATTATAGGAGAACTAACGGATAAAATAAATATATTTTCTGCTGTAGAATATAGGCGAGGGAATTTAAAAGAATTTATTTAAAATGGCAGACTTCAAAATCCTAATTAAGACCATATGGGGATAATGTTTTGAAATTAAATATGAATTTAATTTCTTCTTTTCCTAATTTTTTAATATAACGGCTATGGGCACCAAGTTTGCTCCCAGCTAAGCGAACCTTTTTATGGCCTTTTGGGAAGAATAGGGAAGAAATTATACAGAAATTATACAGCAGAAAATATATATTTTTTATTTTATCTGTTAGTTCTTCTACAATATTTTTAGCAGTTATTTCCATTGTTTTGTATCTAGCAGAAGGAACTGGCCTGTCAAAAGTACAATTATTTAATGATCATTCCTGGCCACCCAGATAGGAAATAGAAGACAATACTTTGCAAATCCATGATAATTCTACCTTTTGTGCATAACATTTCCACAATTCACTCATTGTTTTTCTGTCCAACATTGTTTTGCTTTTTAGTTTTTCTGGTTACAGCCAACATTCTCTGTTTTAGCTATGCTTTGCTAACAGTCATTTTGAGTCAATCATTGCTGTTTCAGTCAAATTATACACGACTACCACCAATTCACATCACTGGTGCCATTAATCATTCCTTAATTAGTATAAATGCTTGGATTTCTTAATTTTATTTTTAAGACTTTACCTTATAATAAAATTATATACATTATACATTAAACTTTTTCTGTTTTGCCTTCTAACTCCAGATTCTTGTTTTTGAGATGTCTCCCATGTTTTGTCCATTGTCAAAACCCTTTCCTGAAATGTTCATTGTTTGTCCATAGCATTGATCAGTATATATATATTTGTTGTAACAATTACACCTAAAGAATAAAAAACAGGGGTCTAGAGTAAACAGAGCATATTGAAGCAAAATTCACATTTATAGCATGTTCTCACATACTTTTAAATGACAGTGTGTGATCTCGTCATACATAATAGTAGTAAAGGAAAGTTTGAAGGTTATGTATGATCACTATAAGGCAACAGTAACAAGAACCGAGTGGAGGATGAATATTAGACATGTGCAATTCGTTTTGTTCCAAATGCAAATTCAGACGAATTTTGGAAATTCGGACATTCAGATGCTTCCAAATGTCCAAAGTGCCGAATTTCTGAATGCCGAACTGAGCCGAAGTGCAGAATTTCTAAAGTGTCGGAGTTCAGAATTTCGGAATGCCGAACTGAACTGAAGTACTGAATTTCGGAAGTGCCGGGGTGCTTCGGGTTTCTGAAAAGTGGCAAAACAGGAGAGTAACCCTAGCCCAATTCCTAACCCTAACCCTACCCTATGCTAACCCTAACCTTCCCCCTAACCCTACCATAACCCTAACCCTGCTCCTACCTCACCCCTAACCCTACCCTACCCTAACACTACTCCTAACCCTAACCCTGCTCCTAACTCAACCCTACCCCTAACCCTACCATAACCCTACACCTAACCCTACCACTAGCTCTACCCTTAACCCTAACCTAACCCTAACCCTACACTTACCCCAAGTCCCGAAGTTCACAAAGTGCCGAACCGAACCGTTGAAGTTCCGAAGTCACGAATTTCGGAATGCCGAACCAAACCGAATATTTTTCCCATGCACATCCCTAATGAATATACAATGTTTAAAGATATTTATGACTTCCAAACTGTCCAGCACAAGTATTCTAAGCCTTTTTCAGAGCCAGATTTATCTTTCTATCAATTCCATTTTGGACGTTTTGTGTTGGTCTGAAAAATATATTTGTAACTTGGGAAGCACAGACATTTTGATAGATCTAATGCTAGTTATGACAGCTTTAAATTTTTCAGCTCTTTTAGAATCAAGTTTCAAGTTGATCTATAATTGAGCTGAAAGAGATCGTTAATAGATTTTGTTTTCTTGTATCAGTATTATTTAATGTTGCACAGTGACATTTAAAATATATCCTAATGGCGCAACAATAATATTTCCTGTTGTGCTTGATCAACTGCTCTAAGGAAACTAATTTTGCGTTTGCACCAATACATTATAAAATAAATATATGCAAATAAGTGAAAATCTCGCTTGGAAAAATGATATGTACCACAATTAATGCATACATTCAATCTATCTCCGCAACAAAGGAAAGGAATGCAGCAGATTGAGCTTATCACTACTGCACACCGAGCTTGTGTTGCCAAGCAACAACACAAAAGCTGATACATTTCCATGAATTTAATACATGTTTTAGTGAATTTAGTGTAATATTCAGCACACTCACAACATATAGCAAGATAGAATGGATTTACCAAGCAGACAAAGGAAACGGTAATGGAACACTAAAAGCACCATAACCACTATAACATGCTGTGGTGGTTATGGGGGCAGAAGTTCCCTAGCGAACCACCCCCATCCAAATTTAGGTAGCTAAACTGTTAATTAATGGTTTGACTACTTACCTGGAGCTTGTTGGACACCACTTCCAGACTCCACTGCTGCCTTCTGTCAGCCGGCATTGCATTGCTTTCACTTAGGAACAGTGGCTAGCATACCCCAGGTAGGAAGTCAAACCAAGACTAAATAATATGACTACTTATACTGGGATAGTCTGGGCACTCCTTGCACCATAAACACTGCAGAGCTCGGATACTTTCTTTAACTATACATTTATAAATGATATATAATAAATAAAAAAAATTGTATGAGCTGCCAGATAGCAGTGTGATTCCTAACTATGAATGATACTATTCTCCATCTCAGAATAAGGTGTGTTTTACACCACTCCAACCTAAGCTTGATGATCATAGTGTCATTTCATTAATCCATTTTACAGAGCTCTTGACAATTCTGCTCACATCCTGAAGTTGCTGAAGTATCACAAAGAGCAGATGGTTTTTGTGTGTTGCACATTTCAGTACTTGGTTAGCCAATTCTGTGAGCTTGTGCAATCTACCACAACATGGCTGAAATGTTGCTGCTCCTGGATTTTTCCTCTTCAAAATAATAATGCTTACAGTTGATCAGGACAGCTATAGCAAATCAGACATTTGATTAGCTGTTTTGTTGGAAAGATGGCAACCTATGACAGGTCTATCTGCTTCTCTTCTCCCCACCCCTCCCCCCCAAGCTCTATCTTCATCTCCCACTTCCATCTCCCTCTGGCCTCAGCTCTATCTCCCTCTCTACTTCCCAGCTATATCTCCCTCTCTTCCCCCAGGTTCATCAAGCCTATCTCCTCTCCCAGCTCCTTCTCCCTCTTTCCCTCAGCTCTTTTTTCTCCCCTCCCCCAGCTTCCCTCTCTTTTTCCATCTGCGTTTGTCTTCCCCAGCACAATAAATTGTTAAGCCACTTACCCTATTTACTACTGACTACTAGAAGCTGTATCCAGAAGAGAGCAGCTCCCATGTGGTGTGATGAAGTCTTAGTGAAGGAGGAGAAGGGCATAAAATGTAATTTCCTGCTCCCTCCCTCAGTAGCTTCCTGATGTATTGCAAGGTGAAAGAGCTGGCCAGTGCAGGCAGGCAAGTATATACCAGATCCTTCACAGACATAGCCGTCACCTAGGTGTCAAAAATTATTTCAGGTAATCCCCTAATCTTTGAGAAACACCTACACTATTATCTAAAGCTTAGCGCCTATATTGGTGCTACCTTTCTCTCTCCCAAATCTGTGGCAGTGCAAGGAGTGGCTGGCTGCTGTCAGTCCTTGCACCTCCCAATAGTGGGCAGCCATTTGGTGGTGGCCCTCTGCTGCAATCTCTATGCTGCAGACCCTGTTCTCCAGTTAGATGAATTAGAAAGCTGCAAGGCTCCAGTGAGCGCGAGGCCTTAGCCGGCCATCTAAATTGTAATTAGAGAGCCACCAAGCAGAACACAAAAACAATAAGACAAGACGAGCCAAGGTCAGGGATACCGGATAACCAGAGAGGTCAAACAGAGCCAAGTCAGCAGCAGGAATAAAGAATCAAGATAAGAACGTGCTCTCAAGTAACAAAAACCATGACAGGGCATCTACTGAACAGAAGAGGGTAATTAAATAGCGTTTACTAAATTACTATTGGATAGCACCATCACCAGGGCACCAATGTAGATGGGTGTTTTTGGAAGGGACAACAGGAGGTGCCTCTTAACTATGACCTAATTGACCTTTATAAAATACCCATTATAAAAGGGTATTTTATTGAGGTCCATTAGGTCATAGTAAAGTGCAGTGTCCAGTAACTTTAAGGAAGCCTGCATAATGCATGAGGTTGACGTTACATGCAAATGCCACATGGAAGCCAGTATGACAGTACCCCTCAGAACTCTGACCACTGAGCAGGAACCCTCTGACTTGTCTAGGTTGTCAGAATGGTGGCAGAATAAAAACCAGGGACCAAACGGGGGCCATGGAGGTCAGAAGAACCAACCTATAACCTTCCCAATGCATAAGTTATTGTAACCGACCCTTGGAAAAATGGGAATTGAGGATGTGTTCAACTCAAATTCTTCACTGACCTTGGCTCAATAAAGAAGGAAGACAAGTCGCTGTGGTGTACCTGTTACAAGTCATTAGCTTTAAAAGGGAGATATGAAAGACTGCAGAGGTTGAAAAGCAAGTCAAGGGCATATGAGAGTCGTTCCTATGAAGGATCTTGAAGGGGCTGATGAAATGCAGAGCCAAATTAATCAAAGGACAAATTCATCAAAGGGCAAATTCAAATTCATCAAAGGACAACCAGACCTCTCCTCTGCCTGGTATGTTGTAGCTGCATGATGATGCTTAAAATAGTTTAAATAACAGTCATGCCTTTGGAAGGTGGTAGGTCAACAACGAAATATGGGACCAAGGCCTTTCTCGTATGGGTAAAGGTTGCAAAAAGCCAATAGGTAACTAATAAGAAACATTTTTACAGAAGTTACAGGTCAGAATGTAGACCTTAACATACCATACTTAGCATACCACCCAAAGATTCTCTTCACTACTGATGCAGTCTTTTTAACACCAGGATGAATTGCCATTTTACTGTCATGAAACAAGTGCAGAATCTCCCTTTGATGCAACTGAGCAACAAAGAGTTTATCCAGTAGTGTATGAGAGGGGGCTGTAAATTGACTGGCTTGAATGGTGTCTAAAAGTGACAAGGAGAAAGAGAGAAAGCAATGAATCTATCAGCAAGCACTATTGAAGCAATGCTTGGCTCTATGTTTTCTAACTCGTTATGCATGCAGGAGAGAGCATCAGCTTTGGCATTGCAGGAATCTGACATGTAAGAAATTATAAAATGAAATCTGGACAAAATCAGAGACCATCTAGCTTGTCTTGGGTTCAACCTTTTGGCATCTGAAATGTGTGTCTGTCAGTGAAAGTGTGGGTTGTTTAAACAGTGTGTGTACCAATGACTGTATGTGTGTGCCAATCTGTCAGTCAGGGCCGTCTTTAACGCGGGGCAAACGGGCCCAGAGCAGCTGCCTCGTGGGCCCCGCGATTTGAGCAGATCCCCTTGGACCCGGCGGGGCGGCTGCACAGAGCCACACCAGCCGCACGCTAAAGAGGGCCCCCGGGTGGCCCATGCACTAAGGGCCACCCGGTGGGCATGTGGCAGAAGGGGCCGGTCGGGAGCTGTGACACTTAAACAGCGCGACCGGGCCC